CCAGGCTGGCCTCCAACTCTTGGAGATCCTCCTGCCTCAGCCTCTGAATGCTGGGATCACAGGCATACACTGCCTCATCTGGCTATTCATGAAGGAGCTAAATCTCCAGCCTTTTTTTTTTTTTTTTTGAGACAGGGTCTCCCTATGTAGTTTAGGCTGGCCTTGAATTCCCTACATAGCCCTGGCTGGCCTGGAACTTGCGGCTATCCTCCTGCCTCAGGCTCCTGAGATCTGGGATTACAGTCGTGAGCTATCACACCAACAAATTTTTTAAAATTTAAGCACTCATTGTAGTGTTTCATCAGCCCTTGCATTTCTTCCACCATGGCTATTATAAAATGTAAAATTACAGATGAAGGCCACATTCCTTTTCTCCCAGGCAGCTCCGGTCTGGACCTGGACTCCCTCCTAGGCCTGGCTGTGTTGGGCTGCTCAGTGTCTCCTGGGCTTGGTTCCACAGCACCCCCCACCTCCCGCCACCCTGGCCCCCGGTGAAGCACGCACGTTGTTGATCATGAGGTGCATGATGGTCTTCGGCATGAGGTCCCGCACAGTCTTGTTGACAATGGCCATGTACGAGTCCACCAGGTTCCGGATGGTCTCCACCTGCCGCTCCAGCTGAGGGTCCATGGAGTGCATGAAGCTGTCAGAGCCGTTCTCCTCCGTCTCACTGGCCTGCCATTGGGGACAGAAGGGCATCAGTGTGGCCAGGCCCAGGCTCTGAGCATCCCGAGGACCTCAGTCTGCCCACCCTGTACCTCCCAGGACCCCAGACTCCTCTCAGTAGCCCTTGTCTTGGCTCTGACTCTAGTGCCTAGAAACTGCCTCAGTTTCTCAATGCAGACATTAAAAAGGACATCTTCAAGCTCCCTTGCTTGAAGACAAGGCCAGAGCTGGTGCCAGGCTGGAGGCAGCTGGCAGGAGGCAAGGGTGGGCACACTCACTTTCTCCTTGTCCTGGGAGGTCCACACGGAGCCACAGAGGCCAGCACAGCAGCATTGCCGCCACCATCAGTGCCACCACCACCGCCACCAGGGGCGCAGAAACAGAGACACAGAGAGGAAAAGGGGAGGGACTGAGTGCACCTGGACTCTGCACCCCAACTCTGAGGTAACTCTGCACTTCCCAGTGAAAGGGGAGAAAGAGTGAAGCAGCTGGAAACGGCCATCATCCAACAGGGGTGCTGAAGTGCTTATGGGGCAGGTAAGGGGCCCCATAAAACTGTTGCTGCAGAGGGTGGGAGACCGGGGGTTCACGCTGACCCCACCCAGTGCGGGTAGGGGGTAGGGGGGATGCCAGCTCTCTGCCGGCCATGGCAGTGCTCGGAATCGTGGCATGACTGAGGGTGGTGCCTTCCCCTCCCCACCCTGCCACTCACCCCAACACGCTCAGGGTATACGCCAGCCCGCAGGAAGGAGGCCTTCCAGCTGTCCACCTCCTCCTGTGTCTCGCAGGCCAGTTCCAGCTGCCGATAATCCTTGTAGACATTCCTGCAAGACAGGGTGGGTGGGGAGGGAAGGTGGGCGAAGTATTGGTCTCCTCAGGGGTTAAGGGAAGGCCTGGACTTTGGTGCTATCAGGTCCAGCCCCAGTCTTCTTGTTTCCTAACCTTGGGACCCCGGGAAAGGCCACTCTCCTCTCCAGGCCTCAGTTTCCTCATCTGGAAGATAGGTTAATAACAGTTCCAAATTGGGTGGGGTGGCGCATGCTTGCAATCCCAGCACTCAAGAGGCGGAGGCAGGAGGACTGCCAAGAGTTTGGGGCCAGCCTGGGCTACATAGTGAGTTCAAGGCCAACCTGGACTGCACAGGGAGACCTGATTTCCAAAAACCAAAACAACAACAACAACAACAACAACAACAATAGCTCCTGTCTCCTATGGTCACTGGGAGGCTTCAATGAGCAGTAAAATGCTTAGAAAGGGACTGAGTCCCCATAAAACGGACACCCATAAGACCTCCATCAGCCCTGACTCTGGCTTTCTAAGGACCCCCTCAGTAGGAGAGAGAAGGGGCTGGGACAGGGAGGTGAGAGGCCCAGTCCTGCCGCTGGAGTCGTGGGCACAGGGGGACAGGGTCAACCAGGTCTCTTATTTGTCTCCAGTGCCTGGCGGAAGGTCTCATGCATACCAGGCACTGACAAGTGGCTGTGAAAGGGAGAGAGGAGAGAGGGAAGAAGGGGAGGAAGAAGGAAGGAAGAAGGAAAGAGAATAGAAGGAGGGAAGGAAGGGAGGAGGGAGTGGAAGGGGAGGGCAGTGATCTAACACCATGTCAAGTAGAAACTTAGTGGGTGTCTGTTAAGTGAATGGCTCGCTATGAGCCCTGGGCCAGGTGCCTCTCCTGATGCACGGACTGTGTGCCCCGCTTCTCCCAGTGGGGGGGTCTGGGGCAAGCACCTCTGCTCCGTGTTGAAGAGGGCGAAGATGTGCTTGCTCGACATGAAGCCCTTCTCCACGTCGCGCAGCTTCAGGTTGTCCACAGACAGCATGTATTTCTTCTCTTTCTCCTGCGGGCAGAGACAGGAGCCATGGGGAAGGCTGGCACCGCCACGCCTCGATCCCTAAGAGCACTTTGTGCTGGAGGGTGCCTGGACACCAGCCGGATAAGGCCTGGTCAAGGGGCCCTGGCTGGGCTGGACACCCTGGCCTTGGGGCTTTCGAGCCAGCCCCATGCACCTTACATATCCGACAGTGCCCAAGGAGCTGGTGAGGGCTTAGGAGGTTCCCACCTCCAACCTTAAGAAGATCTGGAGGCGGGCCAGGTGGCCCAGGAGGGACCGATTGCTCAGGGAACTGCTGTCAGCCTGGCCTGGCCGCCCCTGACTTCATTTCCGGACTGCAGACCCAAGGAAGGGGGGCTGCCAGCCCAGTCCCCTGGCCACCCATGTGGTAGCGACCAGACACACGGCACAGGCCTGCAGTTTGTGTGTGCGTGCGTGCGGACATTCACGCGTGTGGTTGGGTGTGCACATGTTTAGTTGTGTGCTTGTCTGAGCATGGGCACGCCCAAACACATCACCATGCATGTGTGTGCACGTGTGTGTGTGGGGAGGTGTCCTACACGATCAGGAGTCAGTGTGACCATGTTTGTGCATCCTGTGGGGGTCTGTGCACTACGTGGGTGTGTGTGGCAACTGTGCACACCTGGTGTTGCGTGGGTATCCCATGGAACCTGTTCCATGGGGACACCTGCGATCCGCGTGTACAAGAGGCTTTATCTAGAGCTGTGTGGAAGGGGCTATGTGTGTCTGGGAACAGATGTGGCTGTCTGCTGCTGTGTCCCGGGGGAGGGCTTGAGGGATCTTGGGAAGCAGTAGGTACCCCACAATGGGGTTCTGCTGATTGCATCCTACTTGCCTGGACCTATGTTGGAGGGATGGCATCTATGGGGCTCAAAGGGCTCAGGCACAAGACTAGTCCAGGATCTTGGGTCGGGGGCTGGGTTGGGGGACCTCACTCCTCCATCTTGGCGTCATCCTCCCCACCCTCTCTGCCCCCCACACCCTCCTGGCCCATGCAGCCACATAAAGCCCTCTTTATGCCAGGCGGGTGGCCCGGAGCCCCAGAGGACGGCTGGGGGAGGAGAGGAGGAAGTTGCACACACGGCCAGACAACATCTGGAACCATTTGAGGGAGGCCCTGCCGCCGTCGCCGCCGCTGCTGCCTGCGCTTCGCTTCGGGTTGGACACTAGGTGGGAGCGGCCTCCTTGGCCAGCCCTCCCTTCCTGCCGCCGGCCCCCTCCCCAGGCCCCTCCTCCCAGCCCAGCTCCCGCGCTCACCCCTGCCACGTCAAAGGAGGCAGAAGGGGAGTCGCAGCAGAGAGGGACCGAGGCTAGCCGGGCTGGGAGGACACAGGCTGGGACTGGGGGGCCTTGGATATCCGGGGGAAGGGGTCGAAGCTCCCACTGGATGGATGGACAGACACTGCTGCCGGGATAGACCTGAGGACACCTCCACTCCGTCTACCCAGTGTTTAGACTATCTGTTCAGGACTCCCAAATTGTACAGTAGTCTGCACATTGGTTAGGCTGGGCTGGGTTAGACCCTCGGCGCCGCCGCTGGAGAGCTGGACTGATCCCCGCCTGCCATCCCAGATCCGGAGCATGGAATTGGGGCCCGGGGGTTGGGGGGCACAGGGTGGGTGGGAAGAAGGTGCAGAGGGCTGGGGGTACCACCCTGCTGGGGTAGTGGTGCCGGTGGGTGGGCGGGGGAGGAAGACAGAGAGACAGAGAAGACGGGGTCCTGGGGAGCTGGGGGTGTGGGTCTGTCTGCCTGGGGGCCTGCCTCACCCTGAAGACCAGAGAGCAGGCAGCTGGATGGACCGGGAGGCCAGACTCCCGTCCTCAAGCCCAGCACCTCCAGGTCCTCAGTGGTCTTAGTGCCAAAATCCACTGACACCCCACCCACGCACCTTGACATTCACCCCACCGGAGCTCGGGCACATTTATCTGCACACCCAGATTTTAAAGCTCACATCCACACCTCAGGCACACACGCACATCACAAGTGCATGCACACACGCGCACACACACCCAGACACACAGCCTCACAATGGAACCGGCCCCTCCCCCACCCCACCCCAACACAGACCTGAATTCTCCAATACCCCACACTCAGAGCCTCCCTCCCGAGCCCCCTCCCCACCCGCTGCCCTCACACTCAGGCATTGCATGCACACCAGGAGTCGCACTGCAGCATACACACTCATCCTAGTGCTTCCACCCCAACACCTTCACCTACGAAGCACCCGGCACAACACATACAAGTTACACGAGTGCACATGCAGCCCCACATACACAACGCAGCCAGTTTTCACACACACCAAAGCTCAAAGGCACACACAGGGCTCAAAAAAGACCCACACCCTAGGGGATGAGGACAGGGGACCCCTCAGTTATGCTCGCCCTCCCCAGGGGCCCTTAGCCCCAGGTCACACCATCCCCCGGCCCTGTGTAAAGAGCCCCGATATAGGAGCCCCAGACCCACGAGGGTGTCTATGGCGCCTGCCAGGGTGACAGAGCCGGAAGCCAACCCCCTACCCGGATCCCACGCCACTTCATCTCTTTCAGGGGCCCCCAGGCTGGGGAAGAGGCCAGGGTTGGGGTAATGAGGTCCACATGGCTTGGCGCCCCTGCTGGTGACAGCAGAGGGTCCAACTCAAGGTAGGGAGGTGGGGACCCTGCCCAGGGCAGGCTTGGAGGAGACAGGGACCAAGAAGGAGGCACGGAGAGCAAAATCACCCCATCGAAGCCCCGCTTCCCCTCTGAGGGCACCCTATCTCCAACAGCCCCTCAGGAAGAAGAGGGTCCCTTCCCCCACGGTTTGGCCAGCTGGAGTTCATTAGCACAACCCCCAAACCTCCCGCTCTCTCTGGTCACCTCTGGAATCCAGATGTGGAAGCCAAACAGACTCACTCTTAAAGGAGACCAGCAGCAGGGGAAGGAGGTGGCAGCGGCTTCTGGGTACCCTGGCCGTCGGGGAGGTGTTTTAGGGGGTGGCCCTGCAGGGCACCATCACCCCTTGCCCCTTGGCCTAGGGGCACCCTGCACAGCTCCCCTGGAGGAAGGGACCTAGGGGACTGGGGTGCAGGGGTTAACCGGGTGTCTGGCAGCTGGATTTGTGTGTGTCATGGCCTGTGGGGGCCACAGAGGAGGCGGCACGCCCTGGAGCAAGAAAACAGGAAGGGCCACTGGGCTTCGGGCAGGGAGGGGCACCCAGCGCCTCTGCCCACCTTCTCCAGGGTGCTCAGCCCCACGTCCCCGGTTCTGCCGGGCCACCCTCTCCTGCCAATGTGGAGGACAGAGTACCTCCTCCAGAGCCCCGACACAGCAAGCTGCTGGTCCCTGCGCCCCACCTTCACCCACAGGTCTCCCGTATCCTGATCCGGTCCACCCCAGGCCACCAGCCCAACCCTGTGATAACCAGTGGCCCCTCCACTCACCTCGTCATCCTTATACCAGGACAGGTTCTCAGCGGTGAGCACAAACCAGTACTCCTTGGAGCCCCCCTTCATGATGCCAATGTTGTTGATGGTCAGCCAGCCCTTCCGGATGACCTGGGGGAGGGGGCGCAGGAGTTCAGTACGTGGGGCCTGGGCTTCCCCGTGGAGAAGGGTGGGCAAACAGAGGCATCCAAAGCCCACCCTTCCCCCAATGCTGGAGGCCTGGCTGGTCAGGGAGGGTGGGGGCCAGACCTGCCTGGCTTGACCCCCAAGGGACCAGAGAGGACGGCAGGGGAAGGCAGAGCGCAGCTCAGGGTGAAGACCTTCTGTCTGAGCAAGGGACTGGTGACTTCGGTTCTGGATGAGCTCCCCTTTTAGCACGTAAGTGAGCTCTGCTTGCTTGAAGTTTGCAGAGTTTTATAGCTGACTGGGCAAGACAACCCCAAGTATGTTTTAAGTTGAAGGTCTAAGCTAGTCTAAGACTTGTTTCTGACCTCAGGGACTTTGCACATGCTAGAAGGCACTTCTTCCTTTTCACCTGGCAAATACCTAAATCATTCTGTGGGTATCAGCTCAGAGTTTCTATTCCCAGGAAGGCCCCAGTGTAAATCACGTTCCTTGTAGTAATAATCTTTGATCACTCTCTTAGGTTTTCTTCTATATAAAAATGACCCCAATTTTAAAATACCTCTGTATATGTGTATTTTTTCTTTTTTGGTACTGGGGATCGAACTTGGGTCCTTACACTTGCGCAGCAGGAGATGAAACCACTGAGCTAAATCCCCGGCCCTCTTTTTTTTTTTTTTTTTTTTGAGACAGGGTCTTGCTGTGTAGTTTAGGCTGCTCTTGAGCTCACTATGTACCCTAGGCTGGCCTCGAACTCATGGTGATCCTTCTGCCTCAACCTGAGTGCTGGGATTATAGGCTTGCGCCACCACATCCAGCTGGAGTCATAAACTGTCCTGTTTATACCCTAGCTCCTTGCAGACAGTCAGTGCTGACACAAACAGGTGAGTGCTACACTGGTGTGGTTCTAGAATCTTCGACCCAGGCCCAGGAAGGCAGAGCAAAGAGGCTGAGCATGTGGACTATCCAGGCCCCCTTCTTCCTAGTCCTTCCAGCATGGTGACTTCCACTCTGCCTGGGGCTCTGGGGACCTCAGCAGGGCCCTGCCTGAGGCCCAGGTCTCAGCCGAGCTTCCCGTGACGTTATTCGCATCCCTCATTTCATGCTTCATCAGGCCCAGCCTCCCCTTTGGAGTCCGGGAGGGAAACATCTCACAAATGCATAGCTTCCTGTGAGGCAACTATAGTGTCTGGAACTCATGGGTAGCGCTGAGGCCTAGGGCTCCTGTGTACAACTGGGGTGGAGCAGGGCTTTTGATGTGGGAAGGTTTCTGCAGGCATCTGAAGGACAGAGAGCAGGAAGCCAGGTGGAGAGGGGCTTGTCTTGACTTTGCACTCATCTTTTTGTTCAACTCTCTGGTGGAGGAGCTGTCAGCTTCCTAAAAATGTCTCTCACATAGCCATTCACCCATCCGTTCACCCAGCCATCCATCAGCAGATGTTTATGTTTATGGAGATGTTTATGCCTAGTGCCAGGCCACCTCCACACAGTCTAGCTCTGCTTGGAGCAGAAGCCAGGCTCACACATGTGGCTGGATGGGCAGATGGAACTGTGCGTGTGGTCAGGCCTTGCTCTGGCCTGAGCGGGCGTGGAAGGCTCATGCACTGGCGTGTGCAAGTGGTTCAAGCCAAAAGGTGACCTCTTGCCCTCTGTGGCCCCCGACTACCAAAGGACCCCTTCCTCCCCCTCACTGCACAAGCCCAGAGCCCCAGTCCTGATACTCACCAGAATCTCATCCTGCAAAGAGGTAACCATAGCAACCACGAGAAGCATCGGGAGAGAGGAGAGAGGGTTACTGAGGCAGAGTGGGAGGCTTGTGGCTGGCAGATGACAGGCTCCCTGGCCCCCATGGGACTCTTGCCCTTGGGGGAGGGGGTTCTCAGAGCTTGGCCGCGTCCGTCTGTCTGGCACCCTCCATCCCTCGGGCTGGGGCGCTGGGGCGCACTCACCTGGTTCCCGGAAGCCTTCTTCTTGTTCATCTGGTTACTCCTCTGCTGAGCACTAATGGGACAGAGGGGAGGAGTCTCAAGGGCTCTCCTCTCCAGAGGTCCGGCCCCAGTGCCTGGTGCTCTGGGTTAACCTGGTAGCCCTGCACTCGACACACACAGTCGCACCTGCACCCGAGGGTTCCCTCCGCTGCCCGGGAAGCACTCACTTGGCAAAGCCTATGAAGTCTTCATGGTTGGTGTTCATGTAAGCCAGCTCAATATCAATGAGAAGCATGACCTTCGAGGGCGCCCAGGTCAGCGTGTAAGTGGAAAAGACACCACAGAGTTTAAAAATGCATGGCCGGCTGGGAGAAAAACACTTGCCGCATATACGGAAGGTTAGTGCCCTTAATAAATAAACACCCCTGCCACCAGTCAGTGAAAGACAGAAGGAACACAGTTACAACAGGTGAAGAATGGATGGGTGATCCAGAGAAGAAACCCACGCAACCTAGAAGGATTTGTCAAAACCGCTCACCCTCATGAATAAAGAAACAGAAATTAAAACAATGAAATCCTTTTAAAATCTACTGAACAATAATAAGCATTGGTAATGATCAGTCTGGGCACAAGTACAGGGAGATGGACTGTCTCGTACACTCTTGGTAGAAGTATTATCTTTTGTCTGATTTTTGAGACAGGGTCTCCTCTTCCTATGTATTCCAGGCTGGCCTTGAACTCACTCTGTAGCCCAGGCTGGCCTTGAACTCTCAGTGATCCTCCTGCTTCAGCCTCTTGAGTGCTGGGATTATAGGTGTGTGCCACCATGCCTGGCTCAGAAGTATAATCTTTTTTTCCATGCTGCGGATTGAACCCAGGACCTTGCATATATGCCAGGCAAGTGCTCTACCTCTGCGACACCACCAGCCCCAGAAGCATAATTATCATCATGCTGGGGAGGGCAATTTGGCAACATTTAACAACATTCAAATGCACATACCCCCTTCTAAGATTGTATCTCACGGATAACTCATGAAATAAACAAAGATATAGGTACCAGAGTATTCAAGGTAGCATAAGGTTTTGTTTTGTTTTGAGTCAGGGTCTTGTTACATTGCCCGGGCTGGCCTCAGATTCCTAGTTTCAAGCAATCCTGCTTCAGCCTTCCCAGTAGGTAGGACCACAGGTCCATGCTACTGCACCCAGCTGTAGTATGATTTACAATAGAAAAAAAAAAAAGAAGAACAAACCATCAGAAGGTGAAATAGATTATAGTACTCTAAACAATGAAGCACTCTGCAGCTGTTCAAAAGAATAAGAAATTTTAGGTTCTGGTATGGCAGACAGCCTCACCCCCACAAGTTATTAGTGTGCAGGGACTCGTTTTTGACTCTTTGAATCCTGATGAGAGGAATTTCCTGGAAGCAGCCTGCTGGATCAGCCTTAACCCCTGCTACTTCCTGTGAGCTTGGATCTGTCCTCATTGAGCCTGGATTCCCACCAGACCGGTAAAGACTGAAGAGATGGGGCAGTCATAGGCACTGAACAGAGGTTAAGTGTTACAAGTATTGTGAGAGATCATAAGAACTGTGGTTTTTTAAGAGAAAGGTAGACTCCAGCTGGGCATGGTGGTGCATGCATATAATCCAGCACTTGGGAGGCTGAGGCAGGAGAATTCTCAATTCAAGACCAGCCTGGTCCACCTAGCAAGATCTTGTCTCAAAATAAACTATAAAAAGGGTTGGGATGTAGCTCATAAAAGAGTGGCCCTGGGTTCAATCTGTAGTACTAGGGAAAAAAAAAGAAGAAAAAGAAAAAACATAGATCATGAACCAGCTGTTTCACTTCCAGGTATAGATAAAAAAAAATCAGAAATATCCTCAGTACCAAAAAAAAATCATAGACAGGAAGGACTTGAACAGATATTTGTGCATCTATCTTTACAGAAGATTGAAACAACTCAAGTGAATAAGTAAAATGTGGTACGTATGTTCAATGGAATATTATTCACATGTTAAAAAGGAAGAAGATTCCGGCACACACTAAAACCCAGATGAGATGAAAAGAGGTCTGTGGACGGATGGTGGTGATGGCTGAGCCACAGCTGGAACGCACTCAATACCACTCAACTGTACACTTGGAAATGTCTAAAGTGGTAGATTTTGGTATGTGTATTTTACCATCAGAAAAAAGAGAGAACAGCAAAGAGTCAGCATGAAGGGAAAGAGAAAGGCCGAGACCATGGAGACAAAAAGGAAGGAGGCCAGGTGTTTGCGGCTCACTCGTGTGATCCTGAGCTACAAAGTGAGTTCAAGGCCAATCTGAACTACATACAGAGAACCTATCTGAAAACACAGACAGACAGACAGACAGAATGGCGTGTCACAGGGGCAGGAGGGGAGGCGGCTCACCTGCTCCTTGGTGCGGCCCTCGCGCTCCCGGATGTGGGTGGTGACGATGCGCTCCATCTCCTCGCGCAGCCGAGGGTACTGCTGGAGCTGGGCGGGGAGAGAGTGCCACGTACGCAGGGGGCACAGGCAGGGGGCACCCGGCCCACCCGAGTCCCAGGGTCCAGGGCTGCGGGAGGTGCACACAGAAGGCCTGCCAGGCTGGAAGAGGGCCCTAGGCTCCCAGGAAGTGGATGGCACCAGGTCTTGGCCAACCCATTCCTCTAAGTGTGAGCTCCAAATGGCAATTTACGGGGTTCCCCGGCTCCAGGCCCTCTTCTCCAGCCTGCCTGGGCAGCTTTGGTGGGAAGCGCAGGGCCCATGGGGAGAAGCATAGCCTGCATGGTGCCACTTTGGCGCTGACCCAGTAGGCGGACACAGGCCCATGAGACAGAGCTGGCTTCCAAGGCCTCGCTGACCCACAGGGCCACCGTGCTTCCCTAAGGCTGGGACCTGGGTGGGGAAGCAGGCATGGGCAGCCTGGAGTCCTGGGCTGGAGAAACTGGGCAAGGCCCAAAGTGCCAGGGTATGGCTGGGGACAGGTGATGCTCTTTGTCAGAGCTGGGAGTGGGGGCCATTGCAGGGGAAAACTAGCAGTCACACCAGAGGACATGCAGGGGCCGCAGGCAGGTACGCTAGGGCATGGGAGGGGGGCATGCGGAGTGAGGGAGCCAGCAGCATGCGCAGTACCCCGCGGGGCCTGGCTGGGCCCTTCCTACAGTACCCCCCGTCCTGTCCCTTTCCGTGCCCCTGACAGACACCATCATCCAGCTCGAGCTGTCTCCACCCTGCTCCCTCGGGGTGGGAGTCTGGCAGCGCCTCTTCCCCTGGTTGCTCCAAACCCTTCCCTATGAACCCTGCCCTCCACTCAGCCGGGCTTGGACAACGCCCAGGTGACTGACTCTGGCTGCCGCCTCTCCTAGAAACCCTGCCCCAGTGTGGAGAGCTGAGCTGGGGCCTCCAGTGCCCCCGGCCTCCCCCACCCACTGGGCAGAAGCCATCCCTGGGCGGTGCGCAGAGGGCATGTTGACGGATGAAGGGATGGATGAAGGATGGATGTCCTCGGCCGGCGGGCACAGGGTCTCCGGCCCTCAGGGAGGGAAGCTCACTGAGCCTTGATGGCGGAGCCCCCCCACTCCCCGGCGGGGCCCTCCAGGTGTGCTGTCCCTTCCTGTGAGACGTGGTTGGGAAAGCTAAGCAATGCCTGTCTCTCTTCTTTTTTGAGATGGGATCTCACTGTGTAGTTCAGGCTGGCCTTGAACTTGTGGCAGTCCTCCTGTCTCAGCCTCCCAAGTGCTGGGATCACAGGCGTGTGCCACCACGCCCGGCTTCCTTGTCCTTTGTCTGTGCCCCGGTCAGGCCCCTCAGGTGGGGCCCCCAAAGTGGAATGAGAGCCGAGGGGTGGTGCACCTGGATCACAGGGGTGCATCGGAGGGCAAGATGGGGGCTGAGGAGTTGGTGGGTCAGGAGAGGCAGGAGGACGGGGAAGAAAGCGGCGCCCTGCATGCCAGCTCACGAGAGGCAGACGTGAGATGCCCGCGCCCCACCGTCCTGTGGCTGTGCCGAGCACCAGGGACCTGGGGAGGAGCCGCCTGAGACCAGGGGCTGGGAAATGCTGGCAGAGGGGCCCCCATAGACCCGCCATGCCCCAAGGCTCAAGGGAGACCCACCCCACTCTGGCAGTCTCTGATCTGGGCAGACTGGGGACAGGGACACAACCACTGGGCCTCTGAGGGGTCCTGCTGCTCCCTCCCAGGGCAGGGCTTGGGGGGTGGTGACAGGAAGGGAGGAGGGAGCAACATGTCCAAGAGCACAACCAGCCAGTCCTCCCACCAACCGCCTGCATGGGACATTTCTCAAGTTTTCCACGCGTCACATGTGGCAGGGCAGCCTCAGCCCCTTTGAGGAGTTCTGTTTCCTTCGAGCATCTTTTTCCATTCTGGCTGCCTGGGAGCATTTCTGGGACTTTTGGCCAGTTCTGAAAACAGAACTTTTCTCTCCCGGCCTTGGTGGAGCAGGTCAGGCAGCTTGGACCCTGCTGGTTTAGTGGCTGGGGTCGCAGCGCCTGCGGCCACAGAGCCCTGGGCTCGCACCAGCCCCACCTGTCCACTCTCTTTAGCAAGGTGACCAGACGTCACCGAGCCTCAGTTTCTCCATGTGCCAAATAGCTGACTTCCCTTTTAGGGTTCTTGAGATAACTGGAGTAGCAAACCTCATACCCAACCTTAAATTCTAAGTTTTATCAGACATGAAAAGTCTAGTCCCGGCAGGGCTAGGAATAATTAGAGTTAAACATTTATCAAACTTCTCATAGGAGGGATTTGCTATGGTTAAAAAAACTCATGGAGAAGGGCCAGGGATTTAGCTCAGTGGTTCCGCTGCCAGCCTCGCAAGCACAAGGTTTCGAGTCCGATCCCTGGTACCAAAAAAAAAAAAAAAAAAAAAAAAAAAGACAAAAACTCATGGAGAGAAAAAAATAAAGATAGATGAGTTTTGTTATTAAGGAAAAATACTGTTGATTAAATCAAGGCAAAAGTATTATTTTCCTGCTATTTATTTATTTATTTATTTAGAGTAAGGGTCTCACTCTGCAGTTCAGGCTGGCCTTGAACTCACAGTGATCCTCTTGCCTCAGCCTCCAGAGTGCTGGGATTATAGATGTGTACCATCATGCCCAACTATTTTCTTGATTTTTAGGCCAAAGTTTTCCTTTTCAAAGGTTTTGTTGATCAGTTTTTCTATCCATAAAAATCATACAGATAACTATAAAATATTGAATATGACTAAAATTTGTGAAGTAGAAATGGAAAGATTCCTATGTTCCTTGCCCTCCTTCAAAATAAAATTTAGTGGCTGGTGAATATGAATTTGGATTTTTTTGTTTTTGTTTTATGTTTGGTGTGGTACTGGGGACTTTTTTTTTTTTTGGTACCAGGGATCGAACTCGGGTCCTTGCACTTGCGCAGCAGGTGGTGAAACCACTGAGCTAAATCCCCAGCCCCCCCCCCTTTTTTTTGAGACAGGATCTTGCTATGTAGTTCAGGCTGTGCTTGAAATCACTATGTAGCCTAGACTGTCCTCAAACTCACAGTGATACTCCTGCCTCAGGCTCCCAGGTGCTGGGCTCACAGGTGTCTGCCACCACGTCCAGCTTGGTACTGAGGATTAACCCAGCAGTGCTCTATTACTGAGCTACAGCCTTTGGCCTTATTATTATTTGTTTTAAATTTTGAGATAGAGTCTTGGTAAGTTGTTCAGTTTGGCTTGGAATTTGTAATCTACCTGCCTCAGCCTCCTAAGTAGCTGGGATTTCAGGCATGTACCACCACACACCTGGTTTGACTTTGAAATTTTATTATTTAATTAATTTTCCCCCAAATACTACATGCATTCTATTCTAAAACTTGGGTTTTGTTTTTTTGTCCACAGTAAATTGTGGAAGGACATGTGACTAGAAACAAATATGTCTTGGGTGCTTAACAGCTGCAGTCTCCCTGTCTGTATACTTGACCTATTATTGAGCTCAGGGCGCCCCCCGCCCCCAGTACAGGGGACCGAACCCAGGGCCTTCACTGGCTACATCCCCAGTCCTTTTTGTTTTAGTTTTCATTTTGAGACAGGGTCTCGCTAAGTCATTAAATTGCCCAAGCTGGGCTCAAACTTTCAGTCTTCCTGTTCACCCTCCTAGAGTGCTGAGATGACAGGATTGTGCTACCGTGCCTGATTTATTGATCTCCTCTTGATGGATATCTAGGTTGTTTCCAAAATTTTACCCTTGACAAAAATTACTATTTTCTTTTTGGAACTCAATTCAGCAAAGTGTTCTACAGCTTTTAAATGTTTATATCTAGTAATCAATCTTCTAGGAATCTAGCCTTAGGAAGTAATCCTAGAGAAAGAAAAATAATATATCTTTATATACAAAGATGTCAATGCCAGCTTATTTATTCAAAATATTGAATAACTGACAACTATTTAAATGTTCAACAATAGGAATGTGGTTAAGTAAACCACAATAAATCTATTTCTTAGACACTCATGCAATCATTAAAAATGTTTATGTAGACTCTACAATAATTGCTCCCAAAATGCATCTAATAAGAGAAAAAGCAGGATGCTAATACATTCAGTGTGAAAACCCAACCAGCCCATATATATATATATATATATATATATATATATATATATATGTTAAAACAAACAAAAAGCCCAACAAGATTTGGCCAGATATGGTGGCACATGCCTGTAATCCAGCTACAGGGGAGGCTCAGGCAGGAGGATCAGGGGTTCATGGCTAGCCTGGGAAACATATCAAGACCCAGTCTCAAAATTTAAAAAAAAGGCTGACGTAGCTCAGTGATTGAGCTTTTTCCAAAAGGAAAAAGGAAAGAAAGAAAGAAAGAGAAAGAAAGAAAGGAAGGAAGAAAGAAAGAAAAAAGAAGTCTGGGGCGTGGTAGCATGTATCTATAATCCCAGCACTAGGGAGGCTGAGGCAGGAGGATCAGGGTCTGAGGATAACTGTGAGTTCAAGGCCAGCCTGAACCACTGTGTCTCAAAAAAAAAAAAAAAAGAAGAAAATAGAAAAGCAAGAGATTTGGAGAAATATAGAAAGTTTTTTTGGAGGGCAGTCTTGCAGAGTCATTAGCTGTAACTGCTCATTATCTCTTGTCTAAGCCAGAACAAGGATGCAGGGAAGCACTGGGACTGGGACAGGGGACAGGGGACAGACAGAGACCTCGAAGTTAAAGGGCCTGGACCCGTCTGTATGCAGCAGGGTACCAGGGGCCACAGCATGATGCTGGGCAGAAAAGAATCGGGTGGTATCATTGTGCTCCACCCCGTAGCACAAGGGCCTTTTCTCAAACACCAGTGAGACTGGAGGTGGGGGCACTATCTGGATTTGGGAAAAGCTCCTGTAGCCAGGGGGTTCTCTTGCACACCCAGGGGGAAAAAACTGCTTTGGGTGACCTGGCTGAAAGTCCTCAAAATACCCCAAAAGCAGACAGACGGGGAAAAGGCATCTAAAAGGTCACAGGCGACTCAAAGGAGGCTGACCCTTCTAATGTGGATGGATTCCCGTGCAATGAGTCATCCAATATGCTTTGGGGCAAATTGGTTTTGAGGGACTGGATGTTTCCCCACCTCAGGAGGCTCTGACCCCAGACCCCTTCCTAAATTTGCTTTCCCTTTTAGAGTCTCTGGCCATCTGACAAATGATATAAGGCTGCCCACCTCTGAGGGATGTTGAGAGAATTAAGCCAGATGGTCAGGGCAAGCATTTAGCCTGGTGCTTGTACCCAGTAGCAGCCACGTACACTCTTATCAGTCTTGTGGTCCTCACTGTCATTCTCTTTATTTGTTTGGTTTTTTGAGACAGGGTCTCGATACATAGTTCAGGCTAGCCTTGCACTCGCTAAGTAGCCCAGGCTGGTCTCAAAATCACGACAATCCTCCTGCCTCAGCCTCCCGAGTGCTAGGATTACAGGTGTGTGCCACCATGCCCAGCTGTCATTGTCATTCTTATGGATGGAAGGGAGCTGCTGAGGAAGCTCGAATTGGACCAAAGTCCTCTGGCAGAGAAGGGCCTGGAGTGATGCCGAGGGCAAGGAGAGTCAGGGTTATAAGCCAGCAGGAAACAGTGGGCCGGGGTCACCAGCATGTGAAGGAGTCTGGTTCCTGTGGGGAGTCCAGGGGCTGCCAGGTCTGCTCGGCAGATGGCTCTGCCCCCGGGAGGCCATGGCCATGGGAAGGGATGGCCGGGCCCAGCCCCGCCCAGGCGGCCACCGTACCTTTTCGCTACACTTTCTGATGGTGGCCGTGAGCTCACTGACTACCATATCCACACACTTGATACTGGGCTCTTTGAGCTTCTGCACCTGCTTTTTCACTGTGGCTTCAAAAGCGAGGTCAGGTGTGAAGAGGCCCGTCCTGCACCCAGGGAGGATGAGGAGGAAGGAGAGGAGGAGGAGGAGGAGGAGGAGGAGGAGGAGGGTGAGGGGGCGTGGCTGGGTGGGGGGGGAGGAGGAGGGGAGTGAAAGCCAAGAGGGCCGGGCTCGGGGGGTGAGGGAGGGTGGCACAGGCACGGGGGAAGAGAGAGACACCGACACAGAGAAAGAGAACAGAAGACAATGTGAGCGTGGGACCCGGCCCTCCCTGCCGCCACCCGGCTTGCACCTCCCAGGTGTCGAATGGCCAGAGGGTTGGGGCCCAAGCCCCTGCTCCATAGGAAAGATCTCTCCTGGCTTCAGACTTCACCCCAGGGCTGCCCACCCCGTCCCCAGCTAGGCTAAGCCTGCTCACTCTCCCTTTTCCAGACCCGCTTTTATCTACACTTTGGGTCTTCCTAAGGAGCTGACCCAGGCCAGGACCCTGCCCACCACCCCGTCCAATTCTAGGTTTCCCAGTGACCCCTGCATTTGCTTCATCCTGACTCCAGAGCCCAGCACTGTTCCCTACCTCCACCAGGGCTGCTGCATTCGGTGCCCAGGCTGTGCACTGAGCAGCTCCAGGGGCCTCCACTTGCAGACTCTGGTGCCGATGGCCTCCTGGAGCTTCAGTGGGCAGTCCCGCCCCCACGTTCCAGCTCCTGCCCTACTCCTGCCCCTCCTTTCTTCCCAAGGGGCATCCCTTGCCTTTCTCCCCAAAGGCTCTGGTGGAACTCAGCTCCAAAAGACAGAGAGAGAGAGAAGAGGGAAGACAGGAAGAGTGGAAGTGGTGAGAGAGAGGGGCTGGGGCAGCAGTGGGGACAGCAGAGGGAGGGAGGCTGGGGTGCAGTCAGCTTGGGAGTCCAGAGCTCTGGCTACCAGAGACAGCCCTGACACTGTGGGCAAGCCTCAGCTCTCCTGCTGTGAGGCAGGTGCCACTCTCCTCACCCTGGCCTCCCTGTGTGGCCCTGGGGGCTCAGACAACACAGCAGATGGGAGACAGCTCTGTCCCTGCAAAGCTGAATGTGGATGGAAGGGGAGGCCTGAGCGAGGGGCCTGAGTGAAGGTGGGTGACATGGAGGGATGGAGGACAGCAGGATCATGGCCCCCGCTAGTCCTGGACCCTCTGCACCCCTCTGGTGCCCAGGTTCCCAGTGCCACGCCCAAGAAGGCCCTGTACCTCACCCCAAGAGGACCCACCTTTGTGGCGGAGAGGGGCGCAGCAGGGTCTCCAAGCCCTACTCTCTCTGAACTGGGGGAGATCATGGTGGGCACCCAGGGACAACATCCAGCCATCACTCCGTCTCCCCAATGTCCAGCCTGAGGTCCGTAGGGCTGGAGGTGGGTCCCCCTGGCCTCCCCTACCCCGCTGGGGTCTGTACATGCTGCCGCAGAGGCAGTGAGGACACGGGGATGTGAGGACACGGAGGGGGGAGCGCCTGGCTGAGGTGCACGGCAGGGTGGAGGCAGGCTGCCGGGTGGGCGGACGGGCGGGGTTACCTTCTTGGTGCACTGTCTAACGGTGCTGATTAGCTCCGAGATAACCATGTCCACACACTTGAGACACGGTTCTCGGATCTTCTTCACCTGCTTTTTCACAATGGTCTCAAAGGCCATGTCTGGGGTAAACAGCCCCGTTCTGAATGCCCGGAGCGGGAGAAGGGCAGAGTGTCACAGGCCAGTGCCTGCCACAAGTGCCAGGCCAGGCCCCTCCCCAGACCCCTGAGCTGTTCCTGGAGGAGCCCTACTACCCTCTCTGGCTCTCAGTGTCCCCATCTGTCAAACGAGCAGGGGGTTGTAAGGTGGGGTTTCCCACTGATGCTCCGTGGAGCAAGAGAAGGGGAATGTATGTGTCGGTGAGGACTGTTCTGCTTCCTCTTATTCGTCCCTGCAAAAGGTTCTCTGGCCCCGATGGTTTAGAAATTGCCAAACTGGGCTCTCCTTAAGTGGCTTTCCAGGAATAGAGCTTTTCATTTGGAGATGCATCAGAGATGTTTCCCCGTGTCTCGACCAGAGCAGCTACCAGTGTCTAAATTCCATGCCAAAGCTTGGAATTGAGCCTGCATGAATGCAGGGAGATGTGGGTCTCAGTCACTGCCTGGTGGATAGTATGGGCTTTAAGTTTTTCTGCTGAATGCATTTATTGAGTGAGCATGGTGCAGATTGGGGTCCCTGAAGAGGGGCCTAGGCTTTGAAGGAGCCCAGTCTCTCTCTTCCAATCCCTCCTGTCCCATGGGCCTTGGGTGGCCCAGAAGGAGGGAGGTAGGTGGGTGGGATGGGCTGACTTGAGCCAAGGGGGATGTGAGAGGGTCTGATGGGTGGAGAGGCTCCCACTGTCAAGGAGGGAGGCAGACCCCCACAGGGTGCTCCGCCCAGGTCCTACCCAGCAGTGTGGGTAGAGGTGTCTCACCTAGGGGAAGGGCAGGCTCCAGCCCTAGAAGGGGCTTCCCTGGCCACCTGTGCCCTGTGCTTATAGGCCCTGCTCCCAGGTACAGCAGAGGAGGGCAGCAGGCTGCAGGGAATGGGGTGGCCCAGGCCTCCCATCCACCTCCCCAGGCTGGAGCCTGTTGAGCTGGAGCTGGAAAGTTGGGAACCAGAGTTCTGGGGCCTTTCTTGAGGGAGACCCACTTCACTGCTCCCTGTGCCTTGGCACAGACTCTCTGCCTTCTGGGGTTCAGCCCGCTCCCCGGTCCCAGTACATGCCTAATGCCATGGATGTTCTTGATAGCATAGCTGATCTCCCGTCGGAGCTCCTTCTCATCAAACTCCATCTGCCAGGAGAGCAGAGACAGAAAGCCGGTCAGGGCCGCCCCAGGGAGGGGACGGAGGGCCCACCCCATTCCCAGGGGTCAGCGGAGGTGCACATCCGAGTGTCCTGGGTAGAACAGGGGCTCGGGGTGGCCCTGTGGCTGCCCGGCCTACCTTGACCAGCTCAAAGGGGAAGCGCTCATGGAAGATCCGGTTAATGCGGGCTCCCCCTGACAGTTCATAGGTGTCAATCTGGTCTCCGGAGCCCTCGATGCGCTTCTCAAAGTCTACCGCAAACTGCTGAACCATCCTGTGGGGAGAGCAGTGTGGCCTGAGGGTGCTGAGAGGCTGGGGATGGGATAGCTAAATGATGGGTGTCGGGGGCTGGGGGTCTCACTGCAGCAGGGCCTTGGTCTTTCGGGCTGGGTCATCAGGGCGGAAGTTCTTGTACTCCTCCACTTCCTTCTCAATGGACAGCAGCTGGCTCTGCAGCTTGTTCCGCAGCCCTGGCAGTGTGTCCCGGATGTGGTTCGTCAGTTGCTGGGATGCAGGTGAGGCAAGGGTTAAGGTCACAGTTATAAACCCAGATGCCACAGCACCAGGCAGGCGCGGGTGCCAGGAGGCTGCTGGCTGGCACTCAGGCGGCCCCCCAGAGGTGTGCTATTTGAGTTAGTAAGCGTAAAACTCAGTTCTCAACATAAGCCAGAGATCTGAATTTATATTTGAAATCACCTGATTGTAAAAATGATTATCATCATCATCATCATCTGGTGATACTGGGGATTGAAGCCAAGAGGACTCTACGTTAACCTACATCCCCAGCTCTTTTTCCAAAATATTTTATTTCGATAGAGGGCCTCATTAAGTCGCCCAGGTGGGCCTCCAACTTGTGATTTTCCTGTTTCAGCCTCCTGAATAGCTGGGGTCATGAGTGTGTGCCACTGTCTCAAATTGAAAAAAAAGTCCCCAGACTTTTAGTAACTTAATATTTTTTGATACCATAAAGAGCAAGCCAAATGCACCTGGGGCAGGAGTGCTGAGGGCCGCCCCCTTGCACCTTCTGGGTTTCAGACCTTCCTTATTAAGGCAATTCTCTTTTGCACTAGGGCCCCTTACAGTATAGCTCTCTGAACCTTCATGACCCTCTGAAAGAGGGTCTGGTCACCACGATGCCCATTTTACAGATGCAGAAGAAGAGGCTCAGAGAGTTGGAAAGTGTGTCTCAGTGGGAGAATAACAACCCTAGGATTGGAACTCCCACCACATCCCTCCCATGAACACACATGTACATTCCCACATTTTTTTTGAGACAAGGTCTCCCTGTGTAGTTCAGGCTGGCTTTGAACACAACCCTGCGATCCTCCTGTCTCAGCCTCCCGAGTGCTGGGACTGTAGGTGTGTGTCACTGCGCCTGGGTCACATACATTCTGGAAGGCCCATTCCAGATGGAGAAACATCCGAGAGAAACCCCTGGGGAAGCTGGTATCCTTTCCAGGCCAGCCTCTCCCATCTCAGGGGGAATTGAGGTCTCCAGCCAGCGGCCCCCCTCATCCTGGCTGCAAACCCCACACTCCACACAAGATCTTGGTGTCTTTATGTCTTTCCAGTCCCAGGGCTCCCCTTGCAGGTCCCAGATAGGTAAAGGTCAGCCAAGCTCTACTTCACCCCATGTGGGACAGTGGCGAACTGCGTCGCTTTTCTGGGTCTGTTTGCTTGCAGAATGCTCCCCTCTATTGGCCCCCCACTGCGTATGCTTACTTTGTCCTATTCTCGGGGGCTCCCCAGGCTCCATTCCTCCTGTTCCCCTACCTGGTTGAGGATCTTCTGCAGGTAGGGTGTCCCCATGCGGTCAGCCAGGTGGCGGTAGGATGGGTGGGAGAGGAAGAACTTGCGTTCAGCAGCCAGGGCAGCTGTGATGTCTTTCTTGCCATCTATGTCCTTCTGGCTCCGGTTCACCACCCCAATGTAACCTTCGGGCAGAGTCAAGACTGGGGCTCTGGGCTTTGGGGAAGATGGGAAGGGGTCGGGGTGGGGGGGCAGGGGAGCCAGAAGGGGCAAGGCCTGCCTACCTCTGCGCAGGGGGAGCAGTTTGTTCTCCAGCACATCTCGGGCGTCTGTGCCCTCGTCCATGAGGTCCAGCTTGGTGATGACCCCAATGGTGCGCTGGCCTGGGTGCGGGTCACAGGAGGGCTCACACAGGGGGCCTATGCACTCCCACACCCACCAACCCTGCTCCCCTCATCCCCTGGCCATCCTCACCCAATCCCGACCACCCCCCTTTCATGTTCCAGAAAGGCCAAAATAATTTTTTGTCTGTTGCAATACTGGGGATTGAAGTCAGGGCCTTTGCACTGAGCTACATCCCCAGGGCCTCCCTCCTTTTAAATTTTGAGACAGGGTCTTGCTAAGTTGCTCAGGATGGGCTCAAATTTTCGACTTTTCTGCCTCAGCCTCCTAGAGCGCTGGGATAGAGACATGGACCAGCACATCCGGCTCCAAAATGATTTTCAAAGGCATAAACTGGATCCAGCTCTCTGCAGGCGCTCCCCCAAAGTAAAATGACAGCGCCCCAGCCTGTGTGGCGGAGACTTACCCTGGGGGTCCACCTCCTTGGCGATCTTGAGGGCATCCGAGTTGGCCAGGTCAGAGTTGGCAGGGGACACGGCCAAGATGAGGCAGTTCTCCTTGGTGACGAACTGCATAAGCATGTCCCGGATCTGGAACTCGATGTCGGGAGGCTGGTCTCCCACGGGGACCTTGGTCATTCCGGGCAGGTCCACCAGGGTCAGGTTCAGCACTGGACAGGGGTTAGGAAAATACGATTGGCTGAAACAAGGGCTCGTGGGGGTGTGTGGCCAGAGGTGGGCGGAGCCACTGGAGGGTGGAGCTTGGGAAAGAAGGATGCAGAGGTGGGGTCGCTGTGGGGGGCGGAGTGTGCCCGGAGCGGCTGCGCATAGGAAGGCACCAGAGAGGGGCGGGGCCTGGAAATTATACCAGGGCGTGGCCAGGGAAATTAGTCGAGAGGGTGGGGCGAGGCCAGGTCCTCACCGTGTGGCGAGTAGACTCGCAGGTTAATGGGCACTGGCGAGATGCCCTTGTTGGTGCCTGTGACCCGGTCGGTCTCAGCCTCGATCTCCAGGCGTACCTCTTCGAAGTCGGTGAACTTCTTCCCCTTGCAGTGCAGGAACTCGGCGTATTCTGCCCAGAAGCAGGTAGGGAAAGGGAAGTAGGCATCACAGAACCCCACCTGGGCTCCATGTCCCATGGCAATAGACCCATCTCCAAACACAACAGCCCAGTCTCCTTTGTCCAGATGGGGTATGGAGGCCCAGAGGCAAGAGAGGATGTCCTGGGGGAAGTATCTCAGCAAGCACCTTGAGGGCGGGGTGTGTGCTAGAGAAGCTGGGCCTGCCTGTGATGGAGGGCACGTACCTGTGGTAGCATTGACCAGCTGCAGGACCAGGGGACGCCGGGTGACAATGCCAGATCCGCGGGGCAAGAAATCCCTGCAGTGAGTGAGGGATCAGAGGAAGGTCAAGATCTGAAGGGGCTGCCATGACCCAGGAGTTCTTGTCCTGCTGCTGGGAGATCCAAGTCCCCCAGGTTGCAGAATTTATGCATCCAACAGCCCAGACCAGCGACTCCCCAGGGGCCTCTCGGATATGCCCTGTGTTGGTTCTGAGCCAACCAGGAAGTCCCTGCCCCACCCCAGCCCCTGGCGTGCAGCCTGGAGAAACTGAGCATAGGGTGGCCCACGTGCCTAAGTGTTTGGTGGCCACAGGGCGGATCCCAGGAAACGGCATCCCCTCCCTTCCTCCGCAGGGAGGGCAGCTCCTCACTTCCCTTCCCCAGGCCTCAGCTGGCCGGAGTTGAGGACGAGGACGAGGCAGGCAGAGGCAGGAGGCAGAAGCAAGGGACAGAACTCAGGTTTCCCCAGTGCCTACTGTGTGCTAGCCACTTTGGGGGAAGCATCTCATGGATGCCTCCTCTTCCTTGGAGGAAGGTGCTATTGCTAGCCCCCATTTTACAGAGGAGAAAACTGAGGCTCAGAGCTGTTCCTCCAGCACAGCAGACTGGGCTCAGACCTGTTCCTCTCTGCACTATGAGCTTCCTCTCCTCAGCTTCCCATGGACCCAGCCCCCTCTGAAGGACTGGACTGAGGGCTCCTGAAGTCCCCTCTGTCCCCACACCTGACAGGCTATACCCCAGCTGTCCTCGGGGCTGACTCCTTTTTTTCTTTACCATACAGGGAATTGAGCTTCAGGGCCTTCACACTGAGCTATATCCCCAGCTATTAAAAAAAAATTGTTTTTCAAATTTTGAGACAGGGTCTTGCTAAGTCATTAAATTGCCCAGGCTGGGCTTGAATTTGTAACCCTCCTGCCTCAGCCTCCCAGAATGCTGGGACTATATGTGTGCACTACCACACCCGGCTTCAGCTGACTACTGAGGGTGCCAGTTTTAGGTTCTGAGAGCTCTTCTTGCCCCCATCTCTCCCTCAGCAGGCTAGGGTGAGCTTGGAGGCCTCTCAGGAACCAGGCTGTCAGAGTCAGCAGTCATGGGATCGCCGGGACCCAGGAAAGGGGAAGTGGGCCTGAGATCCGGGCAGCCACCTCTCCAGAGCCCTGGGGTGGGGGACAGGTGCTCAGGCTTAGCCCTGGTCTTTTGGCTTGAACCCAGAGCCAGATCCAGACTCACAAAGCATCCTCATGCCAGCTTAGGGGTAAAGTTCTGGGGACAGCAGTCAGTCACCATAATGAGGGAGGAGATGGGCAGTAGTGACTCCTGCTAGGTGCCAGGCAGTGCCTTCCACCCCCCACCCCCAAGTATGGGGAACTGAACCCAGGGCCTCTACACTGAGCTACATCTCCAGCCCTTTTTTGAGACAGAGTCTTGATAAATTGTCCAGGCTGGGCTAGCATCCTCCTGCCTCAGTCTCCTGAGTGCTAGGATTACAAGCATGTGCTGCCATATCTGGATGTTTTGTTGCACTGCTGGGATTTGAACCCAGGGCCTCACGCAGGCTAAGCAAGTCCTGAGCTACTTTCCAGCCCCAGAAATGAGATTCAAACCCAGAGCCTGCTGGACCTGAGGCCTGGAAACTCCCCCATCCAATTGTGCTGCCCCCCACACCTGAGGAGCCAGACTTGCCTTTTTATGTAAGTCAATTAAATCGGGGCTGTGCTGGGCCAGGGATGGGAGGTGATGAGTCACTCGGCTCCCCACCCGAGGCGCTCACACGCTGGCGTGTGGTGGGAGAGACAGACAAGTAAACAGATAGTGGGATGCAGCGGGCTTGAGCTGGAGGTGGCTGCACAGCAGAGAGGGAGGGAGCGGTGGGTGGGGGACTTCCTGCCTCTCTCCCCCATCCTTTCCTCAGTGGCTCCTTTTGGGGGTCCCCCAGGGCTGTGGAGATAGGACCTCTATTCTCCCAGAGGCTGAAGTGGGTGTGGGGGCCAGGGGTCCGTCCTCTTCCCCACCAGCTCCTTGTCCAGCAATACCATGGCAACTGCTGTTGCCATGGAAACTGCAGGAGGGGCTGAGAAGGGTGGGACTCCCCACAGAGAGCCCCCGCGAACAGACACGGACCTTCCCTGCAGGCCTCCCCCTCAGCAGATGGTCCACCCGTCCCTGGTGGGCTGGACGGGCCACACAGAAGGTGGGGAACCCAGGACCCTGCTGAGGAGGATGGGGGACAAGGGGCCTGGGCCAGTCTGCCCCAAGTCATGACACCTGCTGGGCTCTTCAAGGAGAAGTGGGGGGTAGCAGATTAGGGGCCAGGGCAACGGCCGAGGGTAGAGTCCCTAGAGCAAGCTCTCCTGGGGCCAGGGTGGGCATGGGGGTGCCAGGCTGTGAGGTGCCACACTGTTCCTGGACCCAGGTTCTCAAAGTGAGGCCCTCACCCGGCCTGTGTCAGGACTGGTGGAGCAGTGGGCCTGATGGTGCATGCCGGTCATCCCAGCACTCTCGGGGCCGAGGCAGGAGGATCGCTGTGAGTTTGAGGCCAGCTTAGTCTACATAGTGAGTTCAAGGCCAGCCTGAACTACATAGTGAGACCCCGCCTCAAAACACAAAAAACGCCACAAACAGAAGGTGGGACCAAGGGCCAGATTGGGCAGGGAGCTACAGGGACACACAGCAATGGGACAGGTGGCTAAGATGAGACTGGCCCCCAGTAGGCCGGCTTCCTAGCCTCACGCCTGGACAGAGGGTAGACAGGACCAGCAGGTGCCTGTGTCTAGATGGCGAGCCTGGCACACAGTAGGTGCTCAAGCAATACTGGAAGGAATAAGGGTGGCTGTTTCCCAACACCCAGACACACTGTCCCAGCTCGGTGCTGTGTCAGAGGAAACAGGTCCCCAGGGAGACCCAGCCGATCTGGCCTCCAGACAGTGCCAACCCTGCCCCACCTGTCCAGCCCCTCTTGGAGGCTGAGTGAGTGGAGAGCAGGTGCCCAGACAGAGTGTGCCAAGCCCACCAGAGCACTGTGCCCAGCACGGGGGTGGGAGCGGTGGCCCTGCCAGCTTGGCCCACGCACTCCAAGCAGATGGTGGCTTCCCAGCGACGTGGCACCTCGCCATCTGTAGAGCCACCTTCGGACCTGAGGTATAGAGAGGGCTGAGTAAACACCTCCCAGGGGCCACCTACTCTGTCTGAACTGGCACTGTCACCCCCAGTGGTGTCGGAGAAGCCACACCAGAGGGCTAAAGGGACCCCCATCATTAGGACCTGAGATCTGGGGACCAGAGCTCGGGGTCCCTTGGTTGCCAGGCCCTGTTGGAGGCAAACCGATACCAGGAAATAATGCGCCTGCTTTGGGGTGGGCCCAGGTGCTGGGGACTGAACCCAGGGCCTTCACATTAAGCTGCATCCCTAGCCCTTTCTAAAAATTTTTATTTTGAGACAAGAGTCTAGCTAAGCTGTCTAGGCTCAACATTGCAATCCTCCTGCCTCAGCCTCCTACAGTGCTGGGATGACAGGCCTGTGCTACCATGCCTGGCTTGGTGGTCATTTTTATGTCTCCTGCCTCTTGAGCTCTGATGCCAGGCCTCGCCTGAATGTCACAGCCATCACTTGGGAGCTGTGTGGCTGTGAACAAATGATCATACGTCTCTGACCTCAGCTTCCACAGTAAAGTGGATTGCTGGGAGGCTCATACGAGTCAGTGTCTGAGTAAATGGTGATGATAAATAACTGGAGCATGCTGGGAACCCAAGTTGGACATCCGTGGGAGGGACCCTGTGGGTTTCCAGGTGGCTGGTAGGAAGAGCAGGGGTCGGATTGGGATGTTTCAGGCCAAATCTGGACCTCAAAATGGGGAGCAAGCAGGGGCTGGGCAGGCTTGGAGGTGCTCTCTGGAGCAGGGAGCTGGGGCGAGGGCCAAGAAGCGGGTGGGCCAAGAAATACAGTGGCAGAGGTGAGGCTGCTTTAACAACAAGTCCCTCTGTTCCTGCGGCCCCAGGAGGCCCCAGGCATCCCGAGAAGGCCCAAGTCACAGCTCATGAATTTCAGGCTGAGGTTTGGACCTGGCAGGACAGTCTGGTCTCAGCCTTGCCTCTTCTTCCTCCTTCTGCCCCCCCTTCCCCTCCTCCTCCTTCTGGTTTTTCTGAGACAGGGTCTCGCTATGTAGCCCAGGCTGGCCACCAACTCGCAGCGATCCTCCTGCCTCAGCCTCCCAGGTACTGGGATTACAAGCGTGTACCAACACACCTGGCTTTCCTTCACGTTCCAGGGCCCAGGCAGAGCCTTCAGCACATGGCTGCTAACCGAAAATGATTTCAAGATGACCTCTGAGAATTCTCCACCCCTCAGCCTGAGGAAACTGAGGCACAAAAGAGGAAGGAAGAGTCCTGCCCAACGTCACAGGGCAAGCTGGTGATGGGTATGCGGGCTGCGCTCCACAGCAACTGTTTTCCCCACTAACCAGAAGCTATTATCTTTCCCTCTTCCTATTTCTTCTTTTCTTCCTTCCTTTCTGCCTCTCCCTCTCTCCCTCCCTCCCTTCCAAGTGTTGATGACTTCATATTTTCAAAATGGAAACAGACTTCTCTTTTGCAACTAATTAAAAAAAATCGTATGTTCTCCATTTGAGAAGAATTCATAAAGAATTTAAAAAATGAAAACCATCTACCACTGTAACATCTGGGGATCACCTTGCAAAGATGCCCATGGTAACAGGGCCCACGGTGGCCAACAGTGGCGGACGGCTGGCCATTGGGCAGGCTCTGCCAGGCAGGCACTCTGCATCCTTCTGAGATTTCTTTTTAGGGGTGATGAGAATGTTCTAAACTTAGATTGTGATGATGGTTGCACAACTCTGCAAATATCCTAAAAAATCACTGCATTGGGGACTTGAAACAGATGGATTTTATGGTACATAAATTATGATAAAGCTGGGCTTGGTGGTGTATACCTGTAATCCTAGCACTTGGGAGGCTGAGGCAGGAGGATCGCACGTTTGAGCCCAGCCTGGGCAATTTAAGTGACCTAAGGAGATAGCAGAGTC